TACAAACCAGTCAGCTCAAAGACTCTTTGACGCCCAGCCAGGTGGAGGCCTACCTGAGAAGAGCTGCTTGGTGGGTGCGGAGATCTGGGCCTTCTTGGTGATGCGGAAAGCATGATCGGGGCTGCTGGAGCGACGGGATGTGCAGAAGCCAGGGACCTTCTTCACACCCTCAGGGAGAGAGGGAACCTGCAGAGCCCGTAACACATCGACCGGGTCTAATGACAAAGAAACAAGCAATGAAAACAGTCATCACAGTTATTTTTAAGACGTGACGTTCACTAAGTAAACAAGTAAAATCTTAAGGCTGATGGTTTAGTTGCTAGAAATACTGCAAAATGACTCAAAATCAGCACCTTACACACAGTTATTATTAACACAAACTGGTCTGTGGAGCTTTCAGAACAATGGAAACTAAAGAGATAAAATCTGAATTACAGCCTTTTCTGCACAGAGTACTTAACTCTTTTTCTTCAAGCAACTTTCCAAGCTCTTTAGACCACCATGACCTGACTGAGAACCTTCACAGACAACTTTTTTTTCTTTCCATTCAACTAAAACAGAGTGAGAAAAAACAGCCTCACACCTTGAACGATTACTCCACAGCAGACCTAAATATTGTAAGTTCGGCTGTTTCCTCTAATAGCTTTCTAGAAGGCTGTCCAAGCTGTATAGAAATAACTGAAAATACCTTTTTAATATTGCCAAATATTTTACAAAAAAGGGCAGTTTTATTTTTCATTGCAGTCATTCTTTGCAATTTTCCCCAGAGAATCAAAAAGGTCGATCTCAAATGTTCTCGAATCACTAATGTGATATAGGATCAGGTCCAGCAGATGGCCACAATGGCCGCCACTGTACATTTAGGTTTAATGTAAGAAAGGAGGCCCTGTGTCAGAGCGAGCGGGCGGCGGTCCAAGCCACATATATGAAGCGGTGCAGGGCAGGTACAGGAAAGCTCAGTTTAATGCAGAGCGCAGACAGTGGCGTCTATTCTGCTCGCGTTTATCGAGCAGCTGAAACAAGCAGCTGTTGACGTGATCGCGCTAAGTCAAACGAAGATTTGTCTGACACCCCACAATCATTTCACAGTCCCCCCCTGACACGTACACGCAGGAATGCACGCGCTCGCTCGACAAATATTCAACACATACCTGAACATCGTACAATCACACGCACACAGCCTCACATCCCGTCTCCGCATCGGAGGTCAGTCAGTCTGTTTCTGCGGAGGCACTGTGTCATTGAGGAACCTCTGGGGTTCCGGGTGTGACTCCCTTTATGATCAATTTTAACAAAGAGAACTGTAACAGCAGAAGCAGAAGTGCTGCTCCCTGTAAATCAGGAATATTTCTGCTTAAAACCAGAATCCTTGAAGTATTGATTTGTATTATTGGCATGTTTTAAGGCTGAATAGTTTGATATTCATAATACTTGGTGTTGAATCCCAAAAAGGCTGCTTGTTGGCAGCATCAGGGAGACGTTATACTGTCACTGTAGAAGGTCCAGAAGTTTTTATTATATACAAATCTACATGATTCTCATTTAAAGACTTAAAAAAATAACAGTGAAGTTTGTTTCTTATGAAATGCTCAGAGCTGCTGGGTACTCCGCTGTCCACTTAGATAGAATAATAAATACACATGGCACAAGTGCTGGCAAGGCGTGAAAACAACTGGTCTGCATAAAAAACCCAGTGAAGTCTAATTATAAAGTAGAGGTTTTAAAGTGAGGCAGTTACATCCTCCCTCAGTGTTTGAGCTTACTTTACTGTTAACAACCAATTAAACTCATTTACAGCCAGCCCTGCTGTGGCACCTCTCATAATAAACTTACAGCATCACTGACACGTTTCTCTGGTACAAAAAAATGACAGAAAAAAAGACTTTTTTGAGATGTATCATCTTCTATCTGACAAGTTTCTTTTACTTTTTTCACGCTGCAGCCACATTAATAAACCGTCATTTCCACGTACTTCAAATAACGTCCTATTTATAGACAACCTGTAATTATTCCACCCTCAGCGTGTTTAAAAAGCACAGTGGACCATATAACAGCATGGCACTCACTCAGGGCCACTGTTACCACCGTGGACATCACAGCCAAACATGTGAACAGCAGAGAAGTGAAAAATCACCGCACAGTGTGAGACGTGTGTTTCCTAAACTAACGATCAGACACAAAGTTCATCAGACTTCCGAAGACAGAATCAGGAGTAAAGTTTCAGATTCAAAGTGTGAAACAGTTTGACTACATCAGCATCATAAATGACAGATCCTCAGTGTCACCTGTCTGCTGCTGTCAAACATAAAGATCCACAGTCAGCTCGTACTGTGACACTGTGAGGCTGTTTATTGTGTTTATCAGCCATTTATGAGGTTTACACTGTGGTTTCCTCAAATCACACTCGTCCCATCAGAGGTGCGTATGTTTAGGTGACACCCAGTTTATCAGGGGCACAGTTTATGAGATCGTGCCCACAAACTGTAATATTTATTCAGACAGAGCAAACGGTGCATTAATATTGGCTCCTCAACCACAGCCCATTAACGTCACTCTGCACCACAGAGAGAGAGAAGGAGGAAGAGAGGAAATGAAGATGTACAGTTTAGGGAATATAAGGAAAAGGTAAAGTGAGAACGGTGCTTGAAGTTAGTGAAAGTGGAAACATGAGACAGGTTAAAACAGGAGACACAAATGAAGAAAAGTCCTTCAAAAATATAAAAAAATTCTAGCCTTTTCTAATTTTTCATTTCCAGACATAGGTGTCTCGACGGCACTAGCTGTACAAGATATAATAAAGTAAAAAGAGGTAAACGAACTGGAGAAAACTAGGCTCCATACTTTCCCTGACTTTCAATGGAGTTTCCTTAACTAAAAAACTTTCCAGGACCTGGAGGATGCTGATCTGTTTATCTGCATAACTTTGAAGTCTTTTGCAGATCTTTGCAGCAAAAAGACAGAGAAGAGGTTCAGGCAAAAGTGGTGTGTGTGTGACAGCAGACAGCTTGGTTCTGTGATGGCAGGATACTGGATCGGATTGCACCCCGAGCTCCCCCAGTACGCCCAGTACAATGTGCCGCTCTGTTCCCGACTCCCTGTCCGGCTCACATTTGCAGACGGGGCCCTTCCTGCCTAAAGGACCACAATCAGGACAAAAACGCACCCACAAAAATAACACGCTGGGCCACAGAGC